ACCAGTCATTGCTAGTATTACCATCGGCAGTAAAAGCATGGCAAGGAAAGCGCCAATGATATCATGAATATTATGATCAGATGTGCAAAGGAAACCATTCCCCGAGGCAAGACTAAACACTATCAAGTGTTTTGGTGTCCCCGAGGCAAAACTAAACACTATCGAGTGTTTTGGTCTGAACAACCGAGGCAAGACTAAACACTATCAAGTGTTTTGGTCTAAAAACCTTGGGAACTAGTGTTTTGATCTAAACACCTTGAGGAACTGAAAAGAAAGGAGGAACTGAAAAGAAAGCGGGACGCCCTTCGCAACACCTGACTGGAAGAACGGAAGACGTACAAGACTGGAGACGACAATCAGCTGTCCTAAGGCAAGTCATCTTACAAGCAGACGACAATCAGCTGGCCTAAGGCAAGCCATCTTACAAGCAAACGACAATCAGCTGTCCTAAGGCAAGCCATCTTACAAGCAATACAGTCAGCTGTCCTAAGGCAAGCCATCTTACAAGCTAAACAAAAAAGCTGTCCTAAGGCAAGCCATCTTACAAGCTAAACGGACTTCGCTAACTATGGCAAGCCATCTTGCAAGCTAAACGCACTTCTTTCGAACATCTCAAATATCAACTATCAAAGTGATAGCCAACGCACTATCAAATTTCTGGGTAACCTCCAAAATAACAGAGAAAGACCCTAGAAAGAACCAATACGCTAAAACAGCAAATTCCTTACCACCGACACCGAAATAGCAAACTGCTTTGTGAGATTCCCGACACCGAAATAGCTAACTGCTTTGCGAGGTTCTATTCGCACAAGCAAATAGCTAACTGCTTTGCGAGGTTCTATTCCCACAAGGACTAGAAAACTGTCAGAAAATCTTCAAGAGATTTAAAACTACAAGTAAGAAAAAATCTTCAAGAGATTTAAAGCTACAAGTAAGACAGTTTGGCGAAATTAAGGAAGACATAGCAACACCAAATAATGTACTTACTGAACCATTCAGACCTTGCAAACTTAATGCTGCGATAAAACAGCTCAATTGCAAAAAGTCTCCCGGAGAAGACGGTATTCATCAGAAATTTCCAATTAGAATGGGACCAACGAAGACGGCACTCATCCAGAATTTCTAATTAGAATGGGGCCAAGGAAACCATGCTGACGCTTTCCAACAAAATCTGGGTGACCAGTCCCGTACCCAATCAATGGAAAGTTGCCATAGTAATACTAGTACTAAAAAAGGCAAAGACCCTAGCAACTTTGACAACTATAGGTCTATCTCCCTCACAAGCGTGCTGGCTAAACTTATGGAAAGAATGGTTAACAGGAGACTGACCTGGTTCCTTGAGACAACAATATTCTTAGGAGTGAACAAGCAGGTTTTAGGCCACAAAGATCAACGAACCAACAAGTAGCCACTTTCTCCCAACACATCAAAGATGCCCTTGATGCACGAAATACCCTTACGGCTGTATTCGTCAATTTCAAATCAGCATATGACTTAGTATGGAAAGAGAGGCTAATTCTAAAATCGGCAAAGATTGGTATTAAGCATAACATGCTAAACCGGATAAAAGCATTCATTGGATAAAGGTCGTGTAAAGTCAGATACGGAAATGCTCTATCAAAATCCAATCTTTTACAAACAGGCCTTCCACAGGGAGCTGTCACAAGCTGCACTCTTTTCAATGTCTTCATCAATGACATAGCCGAATTGGTACAGACAGTCACGGGCATCAAGTGCTTACTCTATGCAGATGATCTTGTTCTATGGTATTCCGCCCCTAAGAAAAACGCTCAGGAGAGGACAGAAAGTGCTCTTAATAGTGCACATAAACTACTAGCAAACTGGTGGGACATTAATGGAATGGTAATTAACACCGCATAAACTGCATTCCATACTTTTTCTTTGGCCCATCGCAGCATAAACCCGCTTCTAACGTACAGGGATACTACCATAGAAAAAATCAATGAGTTCACTTATCTCGGAATGACGTTTGACATTAAGGTAACGTGGAAATTTACTTTACTAAAATAGCACAGCTAACGTGGAAAAGTCACATTGCTAAAATAGCAGACCAGCTAACGTGGAAAAGTCATATTGCCAAAATAGCAGAACGGTCTCCAATAGACTGAATGTCCTGAAGCGTCTTGCTGGTAGATCTCCAATAGACTGAATGTACTTAAGCGTCTTGCTGGTAGCCTATGGGGATGTGCACGCTCAACTCTCAACACCACTTACAAGATCATATTCAGCCGTTCTGTGAGCCACTCATTACAGCCACAGAGGTGTCTCTCAAAACACTCGAGAAGGCACACAACCAGGCATTACGACTTATTATTGGTGGGATGAAATCAACACCCATTGATGCAATGTTCCTAGGTACAGGAAACACCACAATACGTTCCCTTATCAAAGAGAAGGCCTTGATCCTGTATGAGAAACTACTGCGCATTCCGATGGATAAGTTCTTCAGCACCTATGAGAATAGACCAAGACATCTGAAAACGCAATCTGGTCTAATACAGAAAGCCATAGAACTGAAGAAAGAATTACAAATTGATGGCAAAAGAAAAACTCTCTCCCCCCATGAACCCATTAGCAGACACTGTTGTAGTGTGTTGCACCCAACTGCTTGACTTCTTCGGGAAATCAAACACTCCTCCAGACTCAAATGCGCTCAGTGGCCCTTGAGACAATTAATGTCAACTATCCTGGAGATCAATGGCTCCAAGTCTTCACTGATGGGTCATACATAGAAAACCAAGCAAACATTGGTGCAGGTGTCTATTCTGAACTCTTCTCTTTCTACGCAGCAGCGGGACATAATAGATCCGCTTTTGAAGGAGAAATAGAGGCTATTAGGATAACATTATGCCAATTATGTTGCCTGGATACGAAATTCACCAAAGCGGTGATACTTTCGGACTCACAGTCAGCAATAAACTCAATTGGAAGCAGAGAGCCACTCGAAAGAGCTGAGATAAAGGAATGTAGAAAACTCTGTGAGCTGCTGAGAGTGAAAAACAAAACAGTGGTCCTACACTGGATTCCTGGTCACTGTGGCATTAAGGGTAATAAGCTTGCTGACACACTTGCTAGGAAGGGTACAACGATTTTGCAATGCATGGACCGGCCGATGTCTTTTCACACAATGAATGCCTTAATCAGAAGAGAATCCAAGACCTCAAGGTGCAACAAACTTAAGGCTCGAACAAAGGAGAAACAGTGGACAGTGGCACTCTTCGACATAGCCGACTGGCCAGGAATCGAAGCCGTTGCTGAGTTTAGACTACGTACCGGACGCGATTGCTTGGCAAAACACCTTCACAGATTGGGAGTATACACTCAACCCACATGCCCTCTTTGTAACATACAGGAGGAAATGGAGAAGACCCATCTGTTTTGGTGTCCAGCCCTAAAGACAACTACGGAAAGCCAGAGATACAGGGAAGCAAGAAGACAGCTATTGAACTACTATTAATTAACTGCTGTATAAGGAACCCCTACCCTTGGGGGAAGGCTGAAGTCAAAGTTTAAGCGCTAATGATAAATATCATAAATCCTGCCATTTTAAATAATAATTTCCTTCTATTTAAGAGTGAGATACAGTTAACCTGTCTTCATCTTAGTTGCTTTTCGATAAATTTACGCTATAATTTACCCGTGGCTATCTACTCATTCAAGATGGCAAATACAGGCTAATGTTTTGACTTGTTAGCACATTTATTCACCAATGAAAGAATGAGCAACTCCACGGTACCTCAAATTCTATTGGTTCATTAATCTGGCATTTTCAAGCCATCATTTATTCTCACATCAGCGATTTATTAATCATTAACAATGAAGTTGCTCTGAGATCGATTAGTTCTCTCTACTTTCAACCCGATTTTTCATATTGGATTAGCATTGATAGAGGGTAGTGTGGAAACCCCACAGCTTATCCTTCAACTGAATTGAGATGATTATATTATTCCATATGTGGTATCCAATAGACTTACCTCAACGTCGTGCATCCAGGACTACGTATACTCATACGGAAAATGTCCATAAACAGGCAGATGACTTCTGACTTCTAACCACCATGACCCCACTGTATGCTATATTCGACCACTTACACAGTACTCACTTCACCTTTTCCCTACCTTTGTGTCTGTCTGGATCTTTTACATCTCTGAATCACTCTTCTATTGCCCCTCTCAACTTTAGGTGACTGTCTTTTCCTCCCCTTTGTGAAGCTCGAAGTCAACTAAGGGACTAATGGCAGCTATCCTTCAGTCTGTCATTTGATATAAATAAATATTACGCTATATAAGCTGCTGGCCTTGTTCGGTATGTAATAAATTGCATTTTATTTCCAAAACGCATCTAATTTTTAACTTATCGAAAATGTTGTCTTATTGCCATGCTATCAGGACGGTTAAATTGAACAAAAGGAAAGTAAGTGGAAGAGAGTGAAATTTTATGCAACTTCAATCGAATTCACTGTCTATTAAACTATAATCTTGGAACATTGATTTCGGTTACCTAGGGTCATATTAAAGCAGAGTGCGACTGGGAGGGTAAAATTTGAACTCATGTGGTCAATATCGGCATTCAATTCAATGTAAGTCCCTTCCACACTTTTTATTATTAAACCAATAGCAAATACAAAACCACTCTCTTTAAAGGAGAAATACAAATTATCGTTAGAACGTCTCATTTAATTCAACCGCAAGTTTCTTCAACCTCAGGGCGAATTTCCTCTGTGCTTGCATGTAGGCTTCCAAAGGTGGGGGATTCTGAAATAAATAAAAGACTTCATCACTCCAACTTCATAGGACCCTAATTGACTTTCTATATTCACATCACTGAAGTAATTATAATTGACCACGTAGTAAACCATTTTCCAATTATTTGAGATAATAATAAATTTGCTTCCTAAATTAATAAGTAAACTATTCAATGGATTAGTTTTCCTCCATTCCTTCATCGTCGAATCATTTGGAAATATTGAAAAGTTAGTCCGGGCCATATGATTCATCACTCTGGGTATATGAGCATTTTTAGATACTTAATCTAGAGTCAGTAATCATCAGAAGGATTTAATCAATGAAGTAGCTGACAAAATGCACGAAAACAAGCTTCATGACAAAGTGACCTAGTCAATAAACATTGGTCATCAGGGTAAGAAATCGCCCACTTCACAAGGTCATAAGCCAGGCAGTTTTAGTTTTGGAACATGAATTGTCCATTAAGTACAAATGAGGTGAAACTACTTCATGCCTCTGAGCTACAATTAACAACTTTTAAATCCCACCGCATTCATCATTCTTTAGTTTGACCATAAGCGGACGCAGTGAAAAACTGTGACATTTTGATTCACTTTGAGTTATTACATAGCAAAGAATTGGTCATTTTACCGTTTGAAAGTGATTTCGAGAGTTCAGTCTGGACAAAGAAATGACATTCCGGGGCCACCTCTACTTTGAAGTCCTGATTTAATCTCCCCATTGAATACTTACCTCTGCCAAATTAACTTTTATTGGGAAAATCAATAAGATGCAGTGAAATTTGATCTATAACATGCTAGTATCAAAAACACATTCTTACCTCATTTACACCCAGTTTATCGCAATCACTACTTTTGACGGGAATACCAGCTTGATAGTGACGTCCTCTCAGAATAGCAGTGACACCTTGGGTTTCGCTAACTAATCCCTGAAATATGAAAAAATGCGTCTTTTGTAACAGAAAGGAGACAATTGATGAGCAAACACCAGTTTACACCAAGGTTTATGGTAGAATATAGTTGTGACATCACCACACAATCATGTAAATTGCTTCTATTCAAGGATACACAATTTTCTGCAATCAGATGATAATTAACAGTGTGATGAGATATTAGAGATCTCAATGCTCTATCACGCGAACTCCCTTGAGACTTAGTGACTTGAGTGCAGTTGATATCGTCCAATCCTTTAATGTGACAAGTTTTTCCTGTTTAATTAGTTTTATTGAGTGAAATTAAATCAACTTTCGTGTCTGTTTAGCGAGTGCATATCGTGTATTCAGAAGGACTCACCCCACATGGGGAGAGTCAAGCTTCAGACACGAATAGTGAAAAGCTGTGAGACTGAGTTTTAACTTTTGACCATTAGAATAACCGCCCGTGGGAGGGGGGGGGGCGCTTTTCAGATGGTCGGACATTCGGACAACCCCGGAAAAATGAAACTTGCTTTCAAGAAGCTCTACCTTTCATTTTTGTCAAAAGAGATGACTGTGTTTTGAGCAAAATAAAATATTCTGCCTATTACAATCCATCTAATGTAAGCCCTCCTACTCAAAACTGCGTGATTTACGTTTGACGCCAAGTTCTTACCTCTGCGAAGGTCATTGTAAGATATCTTCCAAACCTAAAATTAAAACTCGTTTATTAAATCCGAAATTTCGGACAAACAAGACATCATATTAAAGAAAAATGCCTACGCCTTATCTATTACTGGTCCCATACTTGTTGGCTTTGGATGGTAGACCAATTGATCCGGAGTTGAAAATGAAATTTCACGCAGAAGACGCTTTAAAAACGTGTGGCTGTTGAGAATCCCTTTATTACATTGGCCTAAAAAGGATTAATTAATTTTTGGTCTTTAAATAAGTAGCCANTTTGATGTAAAATTCGCGTTCTGTTGAAAATCGTCTTGAGTGTCATTTAACTGAATAGATGTCCATTCCTATTATGAGCAAATCATTGCTTCAAAGTACTGACAATAGTTCCCATTAGGCATTTCCAACCCTCCATCGTTTACCGATAAAGATAATATGTTATCATCAAACTTCGAAAAAATTGTTTGTGTAATTCAATAATAAAAAGTGTTCATCTTTGTCTTTGGAAAGTCAAGCGCTTTCGCATTTGCGCTGGAGTGGAGCTATTAAAATGTGAGGAACTAGGAGTTGTTTTCATGAAAAGTGGAAAGGATTATCAGCCATTCAATACACTATCGATTACTTGAAAATCAGGGGAGAAGGGTGTCTAAATATAGTGGCTTCACTCTGATTCCCTGACCTCTTGATCTGACCTGAAAATTCCATATTCGTTTCAATGGACCATTCATGATAATTAGTTCACACTTGTAATTTAAGGATCAAATTAAAAGTGGAAGTTACAAATTGAGACAAGAAGTCGAAAATAGTGGGAAGCCATACCACTAGCGTATAAATGACGAATGGACCAGAGTGCCCACAGTTTCACTTCCAGGCGAGATGTTCGTTTAGAGAGGATATATTCCAAGTGGCCCAATGGGGGCCTTTCTTCATGCGATAAAACGAATGGTGGTTCCCATTGGCAAATCGCTTTCCCCTAAAAACGAAAATGTCAATGTCACCCTTAATTTTGATTCAATATGTGTAAACATTGGTCAAAGGTAGATAGAATTTTCCTATTATTCAAACGTGATACCTTATTTCATATATTTATTTTTAGAAAAATATATTTTAAATGTTTGTTGGTGGCAAAGAAAGAAGTACCTTGCGTAAACTGAAGGGATCAAAGTAGTAGCTGTAATTTTTCTCGAATTCTATCAGCGTTATTTTTCTAGATTGATGGTCTAAGTCAACAGCCAATAAAACTATTACATTTCAATTTTCCCAAGCCTGTTGCATTGAGACCAGTTTCTACCGTTATAGAAAATAAAGTCAATTTATTTCTGAGTTTTGAGTCTGTGATAAAAGATTAACCACCTCACCCAAAGATCTGGCCACTTGTCTTTTTTTCTATAGCAAAGTATTAACCTTAAATCGCATATGATCGTATTAAAGATAACAAATGAGATTGTGAGTTTGAGTTGACTCACAAATGACTCCAGGATATCGTTCTTGTTAAAATAAAATAAGGAGGTCCAGTCATCCTCGGCAAAGGAAATAAGGTTGCAGATAATCCTTGATGCCATGTAGCTCCTTTTGAACAATGGACCATGGAGAATTAGGCTGCAAGTGGAAAATACAATATATCAATTCCAAATTTTCATCTTTGTGTGTGCGCGCGTATGCGTGTGGGTTGTGTGGGTGGGTGGGTAATTATTAAAAATCGATACTACGTCCTACTACCAATCGAACAAAACTAATCATCTAGGAATTAGTGGGATTAAGGTGTTCTTAGATTTTGTTCTTGGAATTGGAAACTTTCACTTCCTCACTTTTCATCTCGAAACTACTTATTACTAACAATATTTGTGGTTTGTTGGAAGTACACTCACCAAAGGTAATTCATCCATCGTGTTTGCAACAGGGGGCTTCCAGTTTCCTTCTCTGTCGATAAAAGATCCTAAAATATCGTCGATGATAATATTAATATTTGGCATTAATAATCAATAACTAAGTATACCAATATAACAATTTTATTTAAAAACCTCACCAGGATTCGTAAAATTGGCTCTGAGAATTGTGAAAGTTGCGTAGGATCAGTGTTAAAATTCCAGATCTGAAAATATTTCGTTTTAAGAACTATTCAATTAATACATTTCAATCAACATTGGATGATGTTCCAGCACACTTTTCTTAAGTAGGGTGTCATTAAAAAGCATGGTTTAGATAAATTTAATACCTGATATTATTTCAGTTAATTTGTTCTTCAACTGCATATTTCGTTCTCGTAATTCAAGTATCGATTTTACATATTGTTTCACTGCCTTCTTAGTAAAGTTGTGTGGGCGATTCATCAATTAGCCGATTTGTTAACACGTGGGTCTCGAGGTCACCAGCTACATGGTTCTCTTCTTCCCTAATATATTCTCTGCCGAAACTAGGTGATATAGTGGTTTATTGCTTATTTACTTTGACTGTTATTTGCTTTGACCAAATAGTAATGAACTCGACCACAACTTAAACTTGACCGGTCATTCCGCTACCTCTGAGTGCGCACTCAAGGGCTGTTACTATCATGGCTCCATTTATCGTTTCGCCTCAGATTTCTAACTTTCTGGTTCACTACATCCTATTTCTTAACCCCCATCTATTAACTAGCTCCCCCATTCATCATGTTTTGAAACTCCTTTACTCATATTATTACTTACTTTTAGTATATTATTGAAATCTCACTCAAGGCACCAATTAACTAATTCCATTAGACTAATTAATATTATTATAAGTGAAAAGTAGTACTTATGTAAATGAGGCAAACTTACCCGCTCAACTCTTCCTATTATTCTCAGAGCATCCATTTCCCGGAATATTGTGCGAGCATTTTCACTTCCCTTAAGACTCTTATACAGTGACCAAATTACATCGGGATTTTTTTGAATCCGTTCAGTTAGAGCTGAGAACGTTGCCCTGAGGGGAAACCTGTCAACCACCAAATAATGTGTGCTCATTTCACTGATGTATCTTATCAAGAATGACATATACAAAGAATTTGATTGAATATTTAAGTAGGTTCCATCTGGGATCTAAAAACACAAAAAATGTTTTCTGAAACTGATTCGAATTAGATACCCAATTTTACACAACAGTCACTCACTATTCCAAATTTATTAATCAGCAAACGTAGAAGCTGATAACCACTTTCAAATCGAAGTATATAACTCATCGTATATTTCATTACTTGTTGGCCAAGTTCAAATGTTAAATTATCCACGTCCAAATTTTCCATTATGTTAGTTACAGCCCCGTGGAGACGAGCGATCCAGATAGGATCATTAGGAATCACCTCATCTATATTTAGAACGGCCTACAAAAAACATGAAGATGGTAAGGAAAACTAGTCTTTGATGAAATTTTTTCCGGCGTTAAAATTTTTCCGTTAATTACCATATTTTTTGCTATTTTTCCTGTCTATGGATCAGCCTGACCACATTATAAGATTTATTTGACCACGCACCGAATCAATTTTAATTGTTTTGTGGGCCACTTGTAAACAGTCTGATTCCACTAGTTTGTCTTAAATTCCCAACCACATAAATATACATCCGATTCAAGACAACATTCCTTGTGTCTCATTGTGCATCAATTACTATGCCCTCTCAGATATCTCCTCATTTTTAAGTGCTCAAACGCATCTACGTTCTGCTGCATTGGAAATTAACCTCAACTACCAAGGCAACCATCAAGCGCCGAGATAATTTTCTCACTCTTCAGCTAGATATTTTTAGTCCCCATGGACTTCAGATGATGAACTGTTTCACTTTCTATTTGCCTATTGAAGAAGTTGTAGTACGAAAGACAACCAGATACCAGCAATATAGTGTCTAGTCATAATTTGAAGTTAAGTTATCACGATTCTCATGAGTGACTTACTTTGAGAATTGCCGGACTCACTATTTCTCGATGACGCCACCGAAAATTGAAACCCCTTAGCATATAATCACATAATTCGAATCGTTTCCCGTAGCGCCTCAATTTTTCTACCAGTAACTCCTCAGAGGTATCGCCAGACACCTGAAATACAAAAGAGAAGTGATGAGAGAAAATCAAAAGAGAAGTTGTGAGATTAAAAGCAAATAGCTGAGCACATCTTCCTTATTAAGAATATTTGGAAAGTGGACGAAAATAATGATTATAATAGTAGATGAGCCCAAAATTTCTCCCCTCATTTCAGTGAGATCTGCTAAGTTGGAGTTCTGATATCATTCACCTAATTGAATAGAATAGTATTCACTTCTTCTACTGCTTCGACTTGACTCATATTCAGGAGCTCAACAACTCCAACACGTGCCCCGTTATAAATAACAATAAAGCAACAATTATAACACACAAGATACTTCAAATCAATAAAATGTCCTCAGTATAAAGTCAAGTTGATTGGGGTAATAGGGAACATGACTACATCAATTCAACTCAATCAGTGAAATAACACTTACCTACCAGCAGCAGCTTATTGAGAAAGCCACTGAACGGTTAACCAAATTGTTCACACTAGAATGCAAGGTATTCATTATCTTAGAGGTGATGTAAGGTGAGTCAGCCCTTAAACCAGATATAATTGCTGTTGAGTATCTTTCTAACATTGCTGCGAAACCACTGAGATGTGTTTATTGTCTTCGAACTCCAGGCTTAGCAGTGTGTATCCTGAATGCTTCAGGGTACGTCTTCTCTGTGATAACTACAGGTGAAACCAAACAAAATGTTTGCTATCAAGAGCCTGGATGTTGGACATCACACAGAGTTCTGGATTCGTCTTTACTTTTTGGCCTCGACTTAATATATCGTCATATAACGATGCATATATCGTGACTTGAAATTGATCATTCATCCAACAAGTTAGTTTGACTAAATGAAATAAAAAGAACTAATATTCATATAATGCACAATTCAACATCAATACATAAATTGATAAGGTTTGCGATAAAATTTCAAAGATAAATTTGGCTTTAGTCGAATTTGAACTCACCACTATATGCGGATATTGCGAAACAATCTCTTCAATTTCNTAATGGGCAAGAAGGGACTTTTATCGCTCTAGAGGTTACTCGTATTTGTTTTTCACTCTCAACATACAGCCTTATTTCTTAATTTTCTTTAGATGTATGTGACTAACTGTTTGATTATTAGGATGATGATCGATATTTCCGCTGACAAACGGAAGACCTTCACTCTGGTGGCATGTCCCATTGCGCCTAAGAGCTATCACTCCGGGTGCACGCGACTATCGTCTTCTCCTCCTTATTTGGTGATTGTGTGGCAAGGAAGGTTTGAAAATTAGTAAAATGCTTACTCATCTGAGGTCTTCCAAGCAGTCGGGCACCACATACCCCCTCCCCTCCCCATAATGTTGTTGCCACAGTTTCCAATGAATCAATTTAAGTCCTGAGAAGGTGGTGTGATAGAGTACTAGCACTGTTAAATGCAGGAAGGGTACAGAAGTTATGCGATAGTCTCAATATGTACATTTCCTAACTTGAAAGCACCCGGCATCTTGACATTCAGAAGAAAACCTCTAACTTGCACCAACTAGTGCCCAAATGACCGAAAGTGTAATAATATCTTTGAAGTTTGGTGCTTTATTTAAAAAAATAACACCTTCTTTCAAAGGAAATGACTTCAACTTGGATCATGAAATTATATTAAAACTACACTGGTGGTCGATCCTTGCTTTGAAAATCGTATTCATCTGTTCGTTCAAAGCTGACCTTTCAATGACAGGAAATTAAACTGTGATGTCTGTGTTTCCATTCAAATGATCTCTAATTTAATCAATATAATTGTGATAGACTAGTGCTTGACAAGAAATCGAAGTTAATGAATTCTAGCACTTAAGGCCGTGTCTGCTGCATGATGTGTTCTATATACTATACAATAAGAAATAAAAACGCAAATAAATGAAACAAAAAAGTCTTAGATAAACGCACCTAATTGCAATTGGAGGAAAGGAAAGTGGATTGCCACTAATATCAAATTGCTCTAGATGGATTAGAGCATCACTCGAGCAAAAATCCGTCAAAGGTGGAAAAGGACGCTGTTGTCTCATGGTACACGAAAATTCAAGTCTCCGAAGTTCCACCAGCTGTACAATTATCGATATCATCTCTTCCAACACTCTACTCTTTGGCAATATTTGGAAATGCATGGAGAGACCCTCTAGTTGGTCTTTCAGTGAAAGGAGACAACTTATATCTTCAATAGAGGTGACTGAAATATCGAGGTATTTCAGATGTGAACATGCTGTGACTATAACTTGCAGATCTTCCGCAGTAGCACTTGTGTAGCTAATATCCAAACTGCTCAAGTTTCTCAGATGGAAAAAGTCCGAAGCATCCACTATTCTCATACCAGTTATGTTCAGACTGGTAAGTTTCTCACGAGTTTCACTATTCAAGTTAGAGACGATTTCCTTAAATGTGATTCCGCTTGCATGAGCAATATTTAAACTTGTGATTTGAAGACTTTTCAGGGACTCAGGAGAGCACGAATGGGAATTG